TACGGCACCAGTGTTGGTATTACCTAAAGGTTCAGGATCTTATACGGTATATTGTGATGCATCTCGCATTGGGCTTGGTGCAATATTAATGCAAGATGGCAGAGTAATTGCATATGCCTCGTGGCATTTGAAGATTCATGAAAAGAATTTCCATGTTCATGACTTAGAATTGGCAGCCATTGTACATGTGCTGATGATTTAAAGGCATTACCTTTACAGTGTCTCGTGTGAGGTATTCACCGATCATCATAGTTTACAGTATCTGTTAAAACAAAAAGATGGCCAAAGAAGATGCTTGGAGCTATTGAAAGACTATGATATCACCATTTTGTATCACCCCAGAATGGCCAATGTGGTGGTCGATGCTTTGAGTAGAAAGGCTGTGAGTATGGGCAGCCTTGCGTATATTCTAGTTGGTGAGAGGCCGTTAGCTGCAGACGTTCAGACTTTGGCCAATCAGATCATGAGGTTAGATGTTTCAGAGTCCAGTCAGATTCTAGCTTGCACAGTCGCTCAGTCTTCCTTGTACAAGCGTATCAGAGAGCGACAATATGATGATCCTCATTTGCTTGTCCTTAAGTACACGGTGGGGCATGGTGGTGCCAAACAGTTTATTGTAGGGAAAGATGGAGTTCTGTGGATGCAGGGTCATATTTGTGTGCCTATTGTGGATGGGTTTCGTGAATTAATTCTTGAGGAGGCCCACAGTTCCCGGTATTCTATTCATCTGGGTGACGCCAAAATGTATCAAGATTTGCGTCAACATTATTGGTGGAGAAGAATGAAGAAGGATATAGTTGCATATGTAGCTCGGTGTTTAAATTTTCAGCAATTCAATTACGAACATCAAAGACCTGGTGGTTTACTTCAGAAATTAGAAATTCCTGAGTGGAAGTGGGTACGTATCACTATGAATTTTGTTATTGGGCTCCCACAGACTCAGAGGAAGTTTGATGTAGTATGGGTAATTGTGGACAAGTTGACCAAGTCAGCACATTTCATTTGAAGCTAACAGTGAACTAAATACCCGGTGATGCAACCTTTGCCGCGAGATGGACCTCACTTAATCCTTCGTTAGGCGAGCTCTATATCACGCTTCAGACCTGGCGACGCGTGGTGTTTAGCAAGAAAGGGAGTGGTTCGTTGTGCTTAGGCTAGGCAAGCTCCCAAGAGAGGAATGAACAGTAGGCTTACATCAATGGCGAACTCTGAAGCGTGCATGTGGGCTGGCCAACTGAGTTTATTTTTACGGCAAAAATGGGAGATGGCCAGGCGAAACCAATAGCGAGCTAGAAACATGGCTGGCTTGGATTTTAGCAAGCAAAGGACCATGTGAGGCGATCTCTAATGCATGCTGAGATCCTGGCCACGCGAGCTCCCAGTGAGAAACTTACCTGGCGAGGCGAGATCCTTAGCGAGCTGCAAAGCTAGCTACGTGAGGCATAACGCGAGGTCATTTCCTGGCTATGCGAAGTCTGCTGCCAGGTTTTGCTCGTTGTTTACCTTGCAATGCGATGCTGTGAAGAGATTGGTCTCGCTATAACCCTCGTTGGGTAAGCTCAATAGCGCGCTAAAGACTGGGTGACGCGAGCTGGAAATCACGCTGGGTAGCAGGCAATGCAAGTTTTGCTGCGAGGTGAAATGTTTGTGACGCGAGGTTTGCTTCCAGGTGCGTTCTGCATTAAACTGGGTGACGCAAGGTACGCAACATTGTTTGGAGCGTACGCATGTAATTTTTATTTTGCTTTTTGAATGACTCCAAGCGCCATGACTTTCCATCGTGCTCTGTTACCTGTTCAGACACCAAGATTTAGCTAAAAACTTGTTAGTGCATAAAACAAATGAAAATCTATAGTTAAGCTAAACTAAACTACGAATTGGGTTGCCTCCCAACGAGCGCCTTATGTAACGTCGCGACACGACGCATGCGATCAAACTTAAGGTTTACTCAACAATTGAGGCTCCTTCAAATGAATCACTGATACAACATTTTCCTCATCCATGCCAAGGTAATGTTTCAACCTTTGCCCATTAACTCTAAACAAGTTCGTTCCATCCTCGGATTCAATTTCTACAACTCCACTTGAGAGTACTTTCACCACTCTAAATGGTCCCGACCATCTAGATTTCAGCTTACCCGAAAATAGTTTCAATCTTGAATTATACAACAACAAGACATCTCCGGGTTTGAAAATCCTCTCTTGAATATGCTTGTCATGCATGATCTTCATCTTTTCCTTGTACAGCCTGGTGCTTTCAAAATCATGGTAATGGAACTCATCGAGTTCTTGAAGTTCTGTGACTCTACTCGTACCAGCGGCCTCCATGTCAAGATTTAATTTCCTAAATGCCCAAAAAGCTCTATGCTCTAGTCCACCAGTAAGTGACACTCCTTTCCGAATACCAATTTGTACGGTGACATACCAATCGGAGTTTTGAATGCAGTGATGTAGGCCAATAGTGCATCATCCAATTTTTTCGCCCAATCAGTCCAAGTAGCATTTACAGTTTTGGTCAAAATACTCTTGATTTCTCTGTTTGACACCTCAACTTGACCACTTGTTTGTGGGTGATACGGAGTGGCAACCTTATGGCGTACGCCATATTTTTCCAGCAACTTTGCAAAGGCTCGGTTGCAAAAGTGAGTTCCTCCATCACTAATGATCGCTCTTGGAGTTCCAAATCGGGTGAAGATATATTTTCTTAGAAAACCAATAAATCCCTTTGCATTATTCTTTGGGAGTGCTACAACTTCTACCCATTTCGAGACATAGTCCACTGCTACTAGTATATTCTTGTTGTTGTATGAGCTAACAAATGGTCCCATAAAGTTGATTCCTCATACATCAAATACTTCCACTTCTTGTATTGGGTTCATGGGCATCTCATGTCGACGGAAAATATTTCCCGTCCTTTGACACTCATCACAGCTCTTTACCCAAAAGTGTGCATCTTTAACAACGTCCGCCAATAGAAGCCCGATTCCAAAACTTTAGCAGTTGTCCTTGCTCCTCAGAAATGACCTCCATAAGGCAAAGCATGACATGCCTGCAAAACAGAAGCTTGGTCTATCTCGGGAATACATCTACGGATCATGTTATCAATACAAATCTGAAACAAATATGGTTCATCGTAGAAATACATGTGACAATCATGAAAGAACTTTTTTCTGCATAGAAGACAATTCATACGGAACAATACTGCTTGCCAGGTAGTTCGCAATGTCGGCATACCATGGCACTTCCTCAAGTCTCGTGGCTAACAGTTGTTCTTCTGGGAAAGTCTCCATGATCTCTTCCACCTCAACCTTCGTTTTAGGTCCTTCAAGCCTGGACAAGTGATCGGCAACTTGGTTTTCCGTTCCTTTTCAGTCATGAATTTCCAAGTCAAACTCTTGCAGCAATAGAACCCATCGAATCAGGTGTGACTTTTCTTCCTTTTTATCAATTAGGTACCTGAGAGCAGCATGGTCAGTATAAACAATTACCTTCGAGCCTATCAAGTAGGACCGAAATTTGTCAAATGCGAACACCACTGCTAGCATCTATTTTTTTGTCACTGTATAACTAAGTTGGGTGCCATTCAATGTTTTACTTGCATAGTAGAGTAGATGCATGATTTTATCTTTTCTCTGTCCAAGTACTGCTCCCACAGCATGGTCACTTGCATCACACATCAGCTCAAATGATTACTCCCAGTTAGGTGAAACTATGATAGGTGCAGACACTAGCCTCTTCTTCAATCCTTCGAAAGCTACCCTGTAGTCATCAGAAAACACAAAAGGGTGATTTGTTTCAATCAATTTACACAAAGGGTTAGCAATCTTGGAAAAATCTTTTATAAACCACCTGTAAAATCCGGCGTGACCAAGGAAACTTCTTATTGCCTTGACGGAAGGTGGTGGTGGCAGCTTCTCTATTACATCAATCTTGGCACGGTCCACCTCAATGCCCTTACTTGACACTAGGTATCCCAATACTATACCTTCATGTACCATAAAATGACGTTTTTTCCAATTCAGTACCAGATTAGTCTCCATACATCTCCACAATACTCTTTTCAGATTTCTAAGGCAATCATCAAAAGAATTTCCCACCATTGAGAAATCATCCATGAAAGCCTCCATTATATCCTCTACCATATCTATGAAGATGGCCATCATGCACCTTTGGAATGTGGCGGGTGCATTGCATAGGCCAAACGGCATTCTCTGAAAAGCGTAAATGTCATATGGACAGGTTAATGGAGTTTTCTCTCTATCCTCCAAGGCAATAGATATCTGGTTGTACCCCGAGTATCCATCCACGAAGAAAAAATGGGACCTCCCTGCCAATCTATATAGTATCTGATCAATGAACGGCAAGGGGAAAAGATCTTTTCGGGTGGCCTTGTTCAATCTTTTGTTGTCCATGCAAATTCGCCATACCGTGACTATTCTTGTTGAGATTAATTCATTGTTCTCATTTTGCACAAAAGTCATCCCACCTTTCTTTGGCACACACTAAGCTGGGCTAACCCAGTTGCTATTTGAGATGGGAAAAATAATTCCCGCATCTAACCACTTAATCACTTCCTTCTTTACAACTTCCTTCATGATAGGGTTCAACCTTCTTTGATGTTCTCTAGAAGGTTTGTGCCCATCTTCCAGTAGTATTTTATGCATGCAGAAGGCCGGGCGAATACCCTTAATGTCTGCAATGGTCCAATCAATTGCATTCTTGCACTCTTTCTACACCTGCAAAAATTGTTCTACCTACACATCTAACAAACCAGATAAGATAATAACACGTAAAGTCGAATTATGTCCCAAGAAAGCATACTTGAGGTGAGATGGTAGCGGTTTCAGCTCCAATTGTTGTGGTGCTTCGATGGCTTGGCTAGAGGGTTCTTTCTTTTTTCTGAGCGTAAAGGCTCGAATTCGAGCCCTCTTTTCCAGTACCCTTGCACTTGAAGAGCCAACACCCATTCCACCAAGTCCTCACCATTTACTTCTTCTAAGTTCATAAGGCAGGTTGTAGATGGTCTTTTGCATTAAGTGCCTCATCATCTTCCTCCATGATTATATCCACCATGTCTAACAAAGAGCAATTTGCAAATTCGCTGGGTCGGCGCATAGACGTTTGCACATTAAATGTTATTTCTTCATTATTCAGCCTCATCTTTAGCTCCCCCATTTCACAATCAATTAAGTCTCTCCCTGTGGCCAAGAACGGCCTTCCCAAAATTATAGGAATCTCATCATCAACCTTGCAGTACAGAATGCCAAAATCTATTAGAAACACAAATCTTCCAAATTGCACAAATACATCGTCAAGTATACCTGATGGCCTTTTCACCATTCGGTTAGCTAGTTGCAATAACATGGATGTGGGCCTTGCTCTTCCAATGCCTAACTTTTTATAGATAGACAATAGCATCAGATTTATACTTGCTCCCAAATCACACAATGCTTTGGCAAATGCATAGATACCTATGGTGCATGGAATTGTGAAGCTTCCAGGGTCGTATAACTTCTCAACTATAGGTCTTGACACAACAACACTACAAGTCTGTGTCAATGTGACAGTTGCCAAGTCTTGGAAGTCAAACTTACGAGACATCAAGTCCTTCATCATTTTTACATAACCGGGCATCTCCCTCAAAGCATCAATTAGAGGAATGTTTACCTCAATTTTTTGTACTGTTCATCCTTCTGAGATTTGGCCAAGCTCTGCGGGAAGGGTGCTGGAGGTCACTTCTTTTCTGTGGCTTGAGTTAGATCCCGCTCACGTACTTTTTCTAAAACTTTCTCTTGCATTTTCTCAGACTCCTCCATAACCTCTTTTTCCTTGTTTATTTCCTCGTGGGCCAGTTGCACTTTTACTTCTGTTAGCCCGGTTGACTCATCTAACTCAATTGGCACTGACACAAGTGTTTCAGTTGACCGCTCTCACGAGTAATTTCTTGCTCTAAATCAAGATCTCTACCATTTCTCAAGTTCACCACCATAAGCGGCTTCAGGCCCTGCACTTTTGGATTGACATGTGTGTCCGCAAGTAACGTCCCTTGAGGATGATTGTTAAGGGCCATGGATAATTTCCCTAGTTGAATCTCAATACCCTTGATAGCCGAATCGTGTGACACTACCTTTTCTTGCATTTGGTGGACCTTTTCTTCCATTTTCCCCCTGGCCCCAATGAGTTGTTGCAACATTCCTTTAATTTCAGATAACCCATCATCCTGCCTCACTATCTGCTATTGTTGAGGTTGTTGATAAGTTAGTTGCTGATTTTGCTGGTTGTAACCTTGTTGCCTTTGGTAATGTACCACTTGACCTTATGGTCGCATAGCTCCAGGATTGTTGGTATTATTGTACTGTTGTTGTGCTGGTCTATACTGTTGATTTTACTGCCCCCAATTCTGACCACCTTGTCTATGTCCTCCATAGTTTCCCGCATAGTTCATGTTCTCTTGATAGTTCTGGTTTTCACTTTTAGCACTCTACAGACACACGTATGGTTGGTTAATGTATGGTGTACATAATCCCCCATTAGTCATGTCAACTATGTGTACCTACTTCTGGCCTGATTCAAAATCTTCTTGGTGAGGATACTCATTTGCGTTATCGGAGTGGCCATATTTTCGGCTATGGAATTGTTCGGGTCCAATGCTACTGAGTGACTATAAGGTGATTGTGGAATCTCTTGTCATCTATCCTGAGTTTTGAGCCATTTTATCTAGCAAGATCTTACACTCTCTAAATGACTTGCTTAAAAATGCTCCACCTGCTGAAGCATCAATATTGGCCTTCAAGCTATCCGCCAATCCCATGTAAAACCGTTGTCCCAACATCTGATCTGGAATGCCATGATGTGGACACTTAACCAACATACCTTTGAATCTTTCTCAATTTCTTGTAATGTTTTACATGGTTTTTGCCTGAAGCTCAATATCTCATCAACCTGCTTGGCAGTCTTATTGGGTGGGTAGAACTTATTCAAAAACCGCTTTACTAATCCCTCCCAAGTTGTGATGGAATTTAAGGGGAGCGAATTAAGCCAAGTTTGGGCTTCTCTTGTCACTGAGAATGGAAACAACAACAGTCTTATTGCTTCCGGTGTCACATTTGGTTGCCTTTGCGTGACACAAATTGTTAGAAAAATTTTCAAATGTTGCTGTGGATCTTCAATGTAAGACCCGGAGAACAATCCCTTGTTTTGCAGCAGATGTAACATGTTGTTTGTGATTTGAAATGACTCCTCTTGTATCTGAGGGACTGCAATTGCAGTTGCCATATTTTTAGCAGTGGGTTGCGCCCAATCATACAAAGCTTCTTTTGGCACAAGAGGTGCCGCACCCTGATTATTCGGGTTATTCACATTATTTCGATTATTTTGATTATCCAAAGCGTCACCCATGTCTGGTTCAATTTGTTCTCTTGGGTGATGATGTTGTTTGTCTTTGTCACCCATGTCTGGTTCAATATTGTCTTTAATACTGTGAAAGTTTTCTCAGGATCCGGTAATGCTTCAAACAATTCACCAGTTCTTGAAGAGTTTCTAGGCATACACCTATAACACACAAGACCACAAACGTTAGAATTTCAATGTAATAAATAAAAATCGAGAAAATTGACTAAACTAAGAATCCTAACAATTCATATAGCTGTAATTAGTAACACTGTTGCTTCCCCGACAACGCTGTCAAAATTTGATCATGCCCAACTATGACTCCTAAGAGATCTAGCGATCGTTGCAGATATAATCCAGTTTACAAGTCTGAAGTCGTATCCCACATGGAAATAACGTGTCATTACAACTAATAGTTTTGCACGAATTCAAGTAATCAACCTTCAGAAATATTATAAAACAATTTGAGAGTTTACTAAGTAAGATCAAAGTAATTAAAAATGCAGTAATTTATAAATAACAAGGCAAATATTGTAGACAAGATTTGGAAAAGTCTAAGGTTATGTTTCCCCTATTGTCGGAATCTTCCCCGCTACATTTCGTATAAATTTGCCTAAATATTCTCTACCGATCGTGAGTAATTTAAGTATCGTAGCTCTTTCTCGAGTAACTAATATAATTTACTAGACGTATTCTCTCGAACTACGCTAGCTGGCACTAATTTACCGCTCACGAAGATCGCACCAAGGCTTCGTTATCTCTAATCCCGCCTTTAAACCTCCGTATCGATCTCTCAACTACGTTAGGAGTGGTGTTGTTCAACAACTACCTAAATGTGCACTCTCTCTCGAGAAATATACACACTAAATAGGTACAGTTAGATGAGAGCTCTTCAATTAACAACAATGAAAATATAGTTGAACAAGTAGAGAAACATCAAAGGCAAATCTATATTAAACGCAATAGAGAATCATCCTCCAATAGGTTCCATCAAACCTTAGATTAAAGAGTTTAGCTACTCATAAATACAAAAACAATCAACATAATGTTTAAAGACATGAAACTACAAAGTAAAAAGATAAAGGAAGGAAAAACTCGTTTGATTCTTGCTCCACAGTGCTTGGCAGCCTATTTCATCTCCAAAATCATGTCCAACCCTAGAATAGCTCATTTGGGGAGTATTTATGCTAATGCCCCGGTCCAATTTCGGGTTTGGGTCTTTTAACCCGTGATTTTTAATTAACATGCTATAGACCTCGCGAAGCCTGGTCTATAGCGCGGTCGACCTGGCTATAGACCTCGTGAAGCCTGGTCTATAGCGCGGTCGACCTGGCTATAGACCTCGCAAAGCCTGGTCTATATCACAGTCGACCTGGCTATAGACCTCGTGAAGCCTGGTCTATAGCGCGGATGACCCGGCTATAGACCTCGTGAAGCTTGGTCTATAGCACGGTCAACCTGGCTATAGACCTCGTGAAGCTTGGTCTATAGCACGGTCAACCTGGCTATAGACCTCGCAAAACCTGGTCTATAGCACGGTCAACCTGGCTATAGACCTTGCAAAGCCTGGTCTGTAACACGGTTTGGATACTTGATGCTTTTGTGCTCTTTTCTTGTATTTTTATCCTCTTTTTGTGCAATTTTCATTTGATGATTCCTTTCGATGTTCCTACACATAAAAAAACACAATTTAGCTCAAATATCGCACAATAATTCATTAGACCAACAAAATATAGGGCGAGTAATGTGCTAAAAGTAAAGTATTTTGGCATCACATCAATGTGCGTGAGGTTGGGAGTGGAGTGTTCTTCTGCATAAGCGGAGTATTGACCACAAAAGCAGTACCACAGAAGTGGATTTTTGGACCGCAAAACCTGGATAGCTGGGCAGTGCTTAAATCCGAAGGGTTTCGTGATTTCTCTCATTTTAGACTTTGCAAACTCGGTCTAAGACAATTTTTGAGACGATTTTCGAGGGGTTTCTTGAGGTAAGTCACTTGTGGTTAAATTTATTCAATAATTATGTTTCCCCATTGAATTCCCTACCTAGATTGTGTGGTTTTGAGGTGAAATTTTGGGAGTTGAGGCTACGGAATAGAGATTTTAAATTAGGGATTTGGGTGTCGATTTGGTGTTGGATTTTGGTAAATTTGGTATGGTAGGACTCGTGGTTGAATGGGCTTTCTGATTTTGTGACTTTTATCGGATTTCGAGAAGTGGGCCCGGGGGCCGAATTTTGAGTTGACTTTTTGACTTTTGATTAACAACTTAGTATTTTCTTATGGAATTGATTACTTTAGCTCGTGTTGATTGTATCGAACTGTTTGTTGCTAGATTCAAGGCAATTAGAGGCCGTTTCGCGAGGCAAGGGCTTGTTGGAGTAGAGTTTCACATAGTTTGAGGTAAGTAGCACTTCTAAACTTGGTTCTGAGGGTACGAAACTCCGAATTATGAGTTATGTGATTGGTGTTGAGGAGACACAGATGCTAGGTGATGGGCGCATGGGCATGCACCGTAAGAATTGTGACTTGGACGATTCGAGGGAACTACATAGTTGATTTATCTTGTCGTTATTTGTATTTTCATCATGTGTTAAAGAAATTGAGCTGCCAAACATGTTAGAAATCATGCTTAGGCTATGTGTTGGCACTGTAGGGACCCTCATAGGTCGTGTTATATGTTGAGTTATTTGCTAAATTGTCATTTTTTAATCAGTCATAACTTTTACTGCATATTCTATCTTGATCTCTGTTGTCCTTTATTGATACATTATATCTTCATTATTTGGGCTGAGTATCATGATTCTCGAGAGCCCGAGAGACTAGTGAGATTGATGACTGAGTGAGGCTGAGGGCCTTCTTGTGAGGATATTTATGGGAGCAGGCTGCACGCCGCAGCATATTATTTTGATTCATGCCATAATTGGCTTATTATTGCGCTTGGGCTAGAAATGCCCCTCCGGAGTCTGCACATTCACAGTGGGTGCAGGTACAAATTGAGTGCGAGTGCGAGTGCCGAGCGATTGGGAGGATTGAATGACTGTGAGGTTGGAGTGAATGGGAGGACTGAGTGATTGATACTCTGAGAGTATGCACTTGATTTCATTTCCGTGTACTTCAGCTGGCACATATATTAACTATCATGTAGTTACTGAGAGGTACTATATCATGTTTCAATTGAACTTGACATGATTTAACTATTTTGGCTTTAACTGTCGAACTTGAGAGT